AGCACCGCCGGAGCAGCCGGAGCCGCGGGGACGCCGGGCTGCGGGACAGAGAGCAATGCGTTAGAGGAGAGCACCCCGCACGGCAAGAGCCTCGGCAGCAGGAGGGTGACTGCAAGTGAACGGTCTGCTCGGGACTCGGTTCACAACAGAGGAGGGGGGAAAAAAGTATGAAAAATTATCTGCAACGAATAGAAAAGTTACTTAATCTAAAAATGGGGGAAATGTCGGCAAATTCGAAATAAGACAACCAAACGGCATCGTGTTTCCTGGTGGCAGCAAGCGCGCACACCAGTGCCAGCACGGCAAGCACACGTGCCGACAGCAACCCCACGCCGCTAACCGGGGGGAACGGGCATTCAACTTCAGAGACTTTTGTAATTTCATACAGAATCTTTACCCTCCAAAAAAGCAGGTAATTTACTTGAAAGGGATTCCAAGACAACAAATAGAGAAATGAGAAACAGATTAAAACTACAGTGGAAAGGAAAACACACACACACACACAAAAGAAATTCGGATAAGGTTTGTAACAGCAGCACACTCAAACTTCAACTCAAATAAAAGTAGATAAATTAAAAATAAATAGTATGTCAGGCTGAGGCTCATAAGCCTTAAAAAAGGAATACTACTACAGCTCCAGTTATGTGCTGGTTATCTTGGTAAATAATTTCCCAGACAAATACAGTGATTTTTCTTTTTTCTTGGAAAAATGAAGGTTTTGAGTCAGACGTTTGTTTCCTATGTTTGGTGAGATTTTCAAACCTTGGAACTTTTTACCTAAGTTATCTCAGGAAGAAAAAGAATATGGAAACCCCACCAGAACATAAAATCTATGAGAAATATTTTGCTCGCGAATAAAGGTTATTGCCTTTCCAAACCCTCAATCATGGAAAAAGCAATGCGTTTAGGTTAAAATTACTGAAACCCATCAATGGGAAAAATGAGTCTACTCTAAAAGAGTATGCTGCACAGTTCGATTTCATCACAAAAATTCTGCTCCAGATGTGCCTTTTGCATGTTCTGTTCAGAGTTGCTAAGTTAGTGCTTCAGGTGAGCAGGAGCCGAGGAAGGCTGCATCCATCCCAGGAGAACTCATGGCGGAAAGGTGGCTTCCCCAGCGGAGGGAGCTGGCTGCGGATGCCAAGGAGGAATTTTTTCCTTTCAGGTAAAGAGAGTCACATTTCAGTGCATTCAAAAAACGACAGTTCATAATTTCTTGAAGGCATTTTGGAAAATATAAGGTAAAACCAGGGAAAATGATGCACTTCTCAAGTATGTGTGGGTAAATCTGGATCTAGCAGGAAAAAAAAGAAAACCAGCGGTCCTGGATTTTTTCTTCTCAGATAGGATGAAACAGAGAGAAATTAACCTACCACACCATCACTGGCATGTTTACCGGGCGGGCTGCTGCAGTAGGGCTGCGACCATCCAGGCACGCCAGCTTCTCCGCCCTCGCACAACTCGATGGCGTGCCAGTCGCAGGTCCCACGGGAGAAGAGCTGGCCTTTCGGCTAATTCTTCGTTTTAAAGACTCGCGCAACAGAGGCAGGTCTAAGCTGCTGCCATACGTCCCGCTTATTCAGGGAAGCAGTTGAGAGCTGGAGTTTTGTGGGAGCCGGCTGTCCGGGGCGTGAGCGCTCTGACCGGGCACCCAGACTTCTCACCTTGGCCGGGGCTGGACTCGGCAGGCTGGGCACGTCCGCCCCGCTTATTCAGGGAAGCAGTTGAGAGTTGGAGTTTTGTGGGAGCCGGCTGTCCGGGGCGTGAGCGCTCTGACTGGGGCACCCAGACTTCTCACCTTGGCCGGGGCTGGACTTGGCAGGCTGGGCACGTCCGCGCCGGGGCCGCGGCACGGAGCCACAGCACTGCCGAAGGACATGACGCGCCCACGCTCTGCCACGCACCGGGGGCTTGCGATCGCTCACACGTGGGTGCTCTTGCACCAGTAATTCCATTAACTGCTGTGGGTCGAGGTCCTGACAGCACAGAAACAGGAGCAAGCGTGGATGTCTGACTGGGCCACCAGTGCTGGATTTTGGAGGCTCAGCTGTGGACGTATGTTGCCAGCTCTGTGCAAGGTCAAATCCCAACCCAGCGCCAGAAAGGCAGCGGCAGGATATAAGACCTTTGTTACGACTGGGAGAAGTCCAAGGGGCTCTTGGACAAACGAAGGAGCAGTAATGGGTTCTCAAATACATCCATGAGTTTAAAATGAATCATTGCAAAGCTACTATGGCCTCAAGTTGCATCAAAGGAGGTTTAGATTGCATACTAGAAAAAAATCTCTTTACTGAAAGAGCGGTCAGGCACTGGACCAGGCTGCCCAGGGCAGTGGGGGAGTCCCCATCTCTGGAGGGGTTCAAAACACATGTAGCTGTGGCACTTCAGGACATGATTTAGCAGGCATGGGGGTGCTGGGGTGATGGATGGACTTGGTGATCTTAGAGGTCTTTTCCAACCTTACTGATTCTGTGATTCTAATGTAGTTCAGTGACACGGGTTGATAAGCAGTTTTTTGACTGAAAGCATGGCAGCTGCCAGGGAAGCATTTCTTCAGCACAGCAACCAGAGCTAGCCGTACACCACCCGCTACGGGCACGCTTCAGACCAACTCCAGACACGTTACTGAGCAAGCCACCGTCCACAGCGGTGAGCGAGGAATGTATACGAAACAAGCCCTGGAATCCGTACCTACTGAAAAACCAGAGCATAAATGAGCCATTAAGCACGATCGCGGACACAAAGCGATTTGGCAAAGCTTCAGACTTACTGCCGAGGGCTGCTGGTAGTGCCCCAGCGGCTGCAGGCTGTGGGGCACAGCCTGGCTCTCGCTCAGAGGTGGGCTGTACACGCGCTGGATGGCAGGAGGGACCGGCTCCGGCAGCGACGAGTAGACAACGCTCTGCTGGCTGCTTTGGGAGTCCGAATAGACGGTGGACCCCTGGCCACTGTCAAACGTGCTGTCGGCTGAAAGAACAACACTTTTTATTGAAAGCTCAACAACTCCAGATGTCCAAGTAATGATTTTAGAGCAAGGTCAACACTCGTTTACGTCATTAGCATTTTTACTACCCTCGCCCTTTCCATTATATAAATAAATTATACAACACAAACGTTATTTTCTACAAAAGGCACACACTGCTTCTCCTGAGCCAAAAACCATCCCCATGGGTCTCTGTGCATGATATTTTAGGCACATCGATATTTCCTTTAAAGGGCATAAGGTTGACATTAAGGATTGCAGACGTTTATAGATTTTATAGGATGAAAGGAAACTCCAATCGCGATGTTCATAGCAGATCATGGAGACTTTCAGAGTCAGAACTCCCAGGGATACACCAACTAACACCTTTTGGTTTTTAGTAGCACTTAAAATTACCAAATGCTTTATACTTTACGCTTTATTAATTCAGCAAATCATACCCTACTTGAGTATATAGCAATACCTCAAGAGGAACAGATAACAAAATAATCTGATGTAGTGATTTAGGCGTACCTTTCTCATACAGAGCATTGGCCCCACTAAACCCGAAAACTGCACAGCCCCGGGGACTGGGCAAGCATTGTGTCTTTCGTCCAACAGAAGTAAAACGGTACCACTCAGTATTACTGACTTAAAAATGCCTTGTCATGATTTCTGAAGCCTGTAAATCACAGATGCCCAGTTCTTGAGCATAAGCTACTGTATTCTTCATTTGAGAAATGAAATGAGACAATCAAGACTAAGTACCCAAAAGACAAATAGCTTGTAACACGAGATCTAAAACTCAAAACTCTAAGGCAACTAACACAGTTCCAAAAAAATGGCTCAAGTTACAGCAAAGTTTAAATGCTGTTTCTTTTCCCGACACTTTCCATCTCCTCTTTTTTTCCATATTCCAAATAAGGTTTTACTTATTCGGCTTTTAAATACCAAATTTTTTTTTTAATAGCAGTAGAGATGACATTTCTTCTCAGCGTTCACAAACTATTCTCCCAACTGTTTTTTTTGCAAAATTAAACTCCCCTCTATATTTATCCAGCTCATTTCTAAACAGAGTCAACATGGCCCTGTTCTAAGGAGGCAGCGATTTCTGACACATACAGACTTCCATTTTATTACTAACAATTATTTAAGATCTCAAAGGAAAAAAAAAAAAAGAGTAAGACAGTAGAGTGCTAAAGTAAAAGCTGAGTCAACCTCAGATTTTTATAGAATGACATGAATTACACACATCAAGTTCTTAACTCACTTTTTCATGTGTGACCTTAGATTGCTATATGAATTGGTAGAACAGGAATTTATCAAGGTCTTAGGCCTAACACTGCTAAGAAAATGTTCAAAGACATCTGACAGTGAATTGTCAGATAACTCCAAGTGTTGGTTAAAAGTTGAGGAGGAGTAGGAAATAAACTGGGGGCTTTATATTTAGTATAAAATTCTGCCAGCTGATGTCCAACAGAAGCATGGGAAGCACAAGCAGCCTCATTGTATCACAGGAACAAAAAGAGTCCTAATTACTGTGTTTCTCAAAAGGAATTAGATAGCATGAAATAAGTACATGCTCCAAAAGAAGGAAATTAAACAAATCTAGCTTCAGAAAAAAAAGGCTTTGTAAATACTGCGATATTCTGAGAGTTATGCAAAACCGGCCATTTCTCATCTCTCAAAGGTTTGTTTTCTTGCAGAGGCATGCTTGGTTATTTCAGTATTCAAAGCAGATCTCTGTATAGCAGTTTACACAATACCTGAATTAAAGCAGCAGCTGTCTCTCTGCTAAAGATAATGCATCTTTAATTTAAACATGCTGACATAAAAGTTCAGAAGAGTAAAACAGAAACATTATGATAATAGTTTTGTAGCAAAATACGTACATCAGATTTTATCAAAAAAACTGGCTAGAAAAAAAAAGAACTCGAAATTTCAAATCTTCCAAGCTAAAAATACCTGGCAACATTTCCTTCAAGATGTTTAAAAGTATAAATAGATGAATATTTCAATGCCAGAGCTTGACTCGGTTGATGACAGGGGACAGAGACAAGTTTCTTTAGGGAAATAAAACCACTACTTCCTCAGGCTTGGCTGTTTGCTGGAGATAAGTCTGATGCTCAGAAATAAAATGAAGAAACAAGCAGCTCTGCAAGGAAAGCCAGGTAGTTTCTTCTTCAGAGAGAGACCAAAATCTTTGAATTTGGAATTGAAAAATGGAATTGGGAAAATGCCATTAAAACAGGAGATGTACATCCACCTCTCTTGAAACCACCCGGCAACCACTCTTGAATCAGTCCCAAGCTGAACGCAAAGAGCCAGCAGATCATCGGCTCACAGCCACCAGAGCCTGGATGAACGAGAACCACCACCGACTCCAACCCGCCGTAACGAACTTCAGACCACTCTGTCGCTGCCCGGCCATGAGCTCAGGACGAACCAGAGAGCCTGGAGGAACGGCGAGCACCTCCATCATCCCCCAAGGGCCCCAACCATAACTGCAGCCTCGACCAAACCACGGCTGCTATTTCCCATAAAACAAGGAAATCCTGAATTACACCAAAGATGGATTTTTTTTTCCTGCTGTAGATCTTGGCACAGCTTCACAAAAAACTTCACGCAAGAGCAACTCGCAAACCGCAAGAAACCGCAGCGCTGTGGTTTCAGCAAGGTTTGCTTTTGAACAAACACCTCCACGCTGCCAGCGTCGTTTGAAAAGCCACCAGCCGCCCTGACCGCTTTGGTGCCAATTCAACTCCCGCAGGCTCGGAGGCCGGGTTTCGCACAATCTTCGTGTCGAGCCCACCACCTGGCACAGAAAACACGCGTTTCTTGTGTCTAGCAGCAGGTCTCCTTGCTTTTCCATTTACCAATACGTTTTCTGCATCTATTGCCCGAGACGCTCATGCTCTCTGGGCGCAGCTCCGCTTGCCGCCG